CAAACCATTCTCTCAATAGAGCTAATTCAGTGGCCTTGGTCCTTGCTAGCTGAGCTTCAGTGGGATAAGGAGCTCTACTCTGGGCTCAGTGCAAGAAGAATCTCTTGCTATGTGAGTGGCATGTAATATACAAATCCCCAGTAGAATAGTTCCAGGAGGACAGAGATTTTGTCTTCCTTGTTGTCCAAATCTGTATACCTAGAAGAGTGTTTGGTGTATGGCAGGTGCTCAGTAAATATTTCCTGAATGAACTAGATGGATTATTTATGAAATGTGCAAGCTTCAATTTAAATAAGAAGTTTTTTTTTTTTTAAAATAATGATTATTGTTATTACTGTTCACTGAATGCCTTCCATGTGTTAGGTACTTTACAAACTCCATTTTATTTATTTCTCACAGGAATTCCACGGGATAGTTTACCCATCAGATATAGGGACACTGAGATTCAGAGATTTTTTTAATTGTCTGAAGTCATATACCTAGAAACAGCAATGATTTTTTACTCAAGTCTGCTTGACTCCAAAAAATATGTTCTTACTGCTACTCTGTTTCCTTTTAAACATAAAACCATATTTTGAAATATTAAACAAAGTGATGATGAAAGAGTTCCATCAAAAAGAACCAAAACATCTGACAAATCGCTGACATTGTCTATTTAGTCAACTTGCTTGGCTTTTTATTCCACAAAATCAGCCATTTGGCTGTTTTCTGGACCTTGCAGTGTTGCTGGGTGAACTGAGCATGCAAGAGTTAATCTGGGAACCTGGATCAGAAAGATTACAAGACTGCCCACATTGAATTGGTTATTCAACCTCAGACTCTCCTCTCACCAGGCAATTGGCTTCCCTGACCCCATTGTTTTTCAGCTGGAGAGTCTAAAGGGTTGCATTTTTCCAGGGTGGCCCCTTACCTCTGGTTTGTCCCACCATAGTATAAAAGGTTGGTCAAACTTCCAAAACTTTTGGCCTTTCTTGCTACCTATTGATTGTGTTTATTTTGTCCCAGGTCTCCATCTTTCAACGTCTACCTTGTCTGGTAATCTTGCTCCAACTCCTGATTTCTCCCCTAGACTGGAAGTTTTGGGTTATGTATTTTTGACCTTGAACAGTGGCCAGATCCAGTTAATCCAAACATAAGAGTGTAGCACACAAGACTCAAGGCACTTGACTTTAGTTGGACTGATCTGAACTGGTCAATGTAGCTTGAGCCTGAGAAAGTTGTTTAACTTCTGTGTCTCATGATTATATTTTCTTCTCTTCTTTGTGGAGTTGTGGGAACAGTTTTAATAATGCTTATAAAGTTGTTAATTAAAAATGTCCATGAATTCAAGGTAGTATATTAATAACATTTTGAACCAAGTTTCTGTTAATTTATATCTAAAAATAATTATGTAGGTATAACACAGGAATTGTCTTTACATACAAAAATCAAGTAAGTGTGAAACCCAGAATGGAGAATCAAAATTGAAGCAAATGTAGAAAATGATGACCATTAAAGTTAAATAATTGAACAACTTCTGGAAGTAGGATCCATATTTTTTAGATAACACTTTCATCGTGTCTCTTTCCATATTTTTTTCATTAAAAAAGTAGTGTAGGGGTGCTTGGGTGGCTCAGTGAGTTAAGCCTCTGCCTTCAGCTCAGGTCATGGTCTCAGGGTCCTGAATCGAGCCCCTCATTGGGCTCTCTGCTCAGCAGGGAGCCTGCTCCCCACCCCTCTCTCTGCCTGCCTCTCTGCCAACTTGTGATCTCTCTCTCTGTCAAATAAATAAATAAAAATCTTTAAAAGATATATAAAAAAATAGAAAAGTAGTTTAGATACAATAAAATTTACCCTTTTTCATATAAATTTTTATGAGATGTCAAATGCAGTCACATAACTACTGCTATTTAAAAACATAGTATACTTCCATCACACCCAAATTTTTTCTGTTCCTCTTTGTAGTCAAATTCTACCCTTGACTCCAATCTCTGACAATTAATGATAACCAATATGGAAAATTTGGATTCCCTAACCATTTGTGGTATTTTCTGGCCCTCCTCATGCTTCTCTGTGGGAATTAGAGTTACCAACATAAGACAATACTGATATTCTGGTGATTGCTATTGCCCTAAGTAATAACAGCCTTTTCCATGACTCAGAAATCTCATGCTGTTTGCCAGCATCTATGAAACCAGGGCAGTTTACCTTGTTTATTTGCAAATAAGGTAAAATTTCAGACCATTTATATGATTCTTGACTAATTTATTCCTTCCCAATCTATATACATCTTATTTCTTTTCCTTGCTTTATTTCATTGGCTAGGAATTCTAGTATGATGTGTAAAGAAGTTGTAGGAGGAACATCTTGGACTTGTTTCCAATCTTGGGTGTGGGGGTGGGGAGGGACATCCAGTTTTTCACCATTAAATATGATATAAGGTATTAAATTTTGATAGATGCTCTGTGTCAGTTTTAGATGTTCCCTTTTATTCCAGTTTGCTCAGTTTCTGCTAAAGATTTTTTTCATCTTTGTTCAAGATGGATATTGGCTTGTTCTTTTCTTATAACATCTTTGTTCCATTTCAGCATCAGAGTAACACTGGCATCATTAAATGAATTGAGAATTTCCCCCATCGTTTCTATATACAAACTCTGGGAGAGTTTGTACAAAGTTGTTGTTATTATTTCTTTCTTAGACGTTTGGTAGAACTTGCCATGAAGTCATCTGGCCTGGAATTTTCTTTTTGTAAAAGGTTTTTAATTAGAAATTCAATACTTTTAAAAGATATAGGACTAGTCAGTTTATTTATTTCTTCTTGAAGGAGCCTTTTTAGGGAGCTTAAGGTCACTGGTTGATAGTTCCAACATCTTTGTCGTATTTGAATGATTTTGTTGATTGTCTCTTAATAATGTTTTATTTTTGTTTGCTGCTTTGTGTGTCTTGCAATTTTTGGTTGAAAGCTGTACATCTTACGTAGACCAGTACAGACTTAGGTAAGTCATATTCATGCCTGATAACGGGTATGACTTTTATTTTTGCCTTTAGTGTGTGAGACTATCAACCCAGACAGTAGGACTGGGTTTGGGTAATTTTCTTGTTATGGTTATAATCACTATACCACAAGCTTCAGCTTCTAGCATTGTCTTGTGTTTAGGATAGGGAGTGGTTTGCCAGAAGGTTTTTCTCAATGTCTGCTTCACTCTAAGACTTAGGTCTTCCCTTTATGCTTTTGCCTCAGAAAGGAGTCTTTCCATACTTTTGAAGGTCACTGTTACTTGTTTCTGGAGTTTGCAACCTGATGTTGGGAGTGGCATGGAGGTGACTTTTGTTGTTCTGCTTCAATCCCCGTTTTAGATGAGTGCTCCACCCCTGTGCCTTGGAGTTAGGGCCTTCTCAGTGATTCTCCTCATCTGGAAGTTGGCAATCCCTAATGTATTCTTGCCCTTCCCCAGAGGGTTTTTCTGTTCCTTTTCTCACCTGCAATATGTCTTCACCTATACCTTGAGGGTAACAGGGTGTAGTGCCCTTCTTCCAGTGGGATAAGGCTGTAGGAGACAGGAGAGAAGGATACGGGCAGATCTTCATGCCTTCACCTCAGGGGTTGCTCTTTCCTTCTCCAAGGCTGTACCATAAGGGATATTTCTTCAGACTCATTCTGTTTTTGGTTTTCCCATGCACACTCAGTGAGGTCTGTGAAAAGGGTCTGCAAATGGGTGGGAATTCCTCTCTATCTGTGGATCTCAGAAGTTTTCTGCTTTCATTTTACACTCTATACCCTATCCTCTCACAATGGACCATTCTGCATTCATTAACAATTTTAGTCAGTTTTGTTTGTTTGTTTTCTGGACATGGCTGAGTAGGAGGTTCAATCATGTTGCCTACATTTGCCACAACAAAGACCAAAAGGTTTGGCACAAGGAGCTCACTATCCAGGACATCTACCTGAGACTGTTGGTCAAGCTGTATGTTTTTCTGGCCAAACGAACTAACTCCAATTTAAACCATGTTGTTGATTGAAGTTGTATTAAAGAGGTCATTCATGAGTCATACCAACCAGCTGCCTCTGTTCCTCTCCTGGATGATCCAGAAAATGAAGCTTCCTGGCCAGAAAGACAGAACAGTGGTGGTTTTAGGGACTGTAACCAATGCATGTGGTAGGAGGTGCCCAAACTGAAGATGTGTGCACTGTGTGTGAGCAGTCATGACTGTAGCCACATCCGCAAAGCTGGGGGCAAGATCTTTATATTTGACCAGTTGGCCTGGACTCTCCCAAGGGCTGTGGCACCGTCTTACTCTCTCTCTGGTCCATGAAAGTGCCCACTTTAGGTATAGGGGTATATTGGCAAGGCCCTAGGGACCCCGCACAGCCACACCAAACCCTCTGTGCAATCCAAGAGCTGGAAGCTGGAGCAGGCCAGATGCAGCAAGGCCAGCATCAGCTACAAAAAGTAACCCCTGATCCTGCCTTGTTATTAAAAAGATTCTGGTGCTGAAAAAAAAAAATTTTTTAGCCAATTTTCTTTCTTTCTTTTTCTTTTTCTTTTTCTTTTTTTCTCTTTCTCTCTCTCTTTCTTTCTTTCTCTCTTTCTTTCTTTCTTTCTTTCTTTCTTTCTTTCTTTCTTTCTTTCTTTTACCAGCTTGTATAGCATCTGGTGTTTTGCTGTAGCTAAGCAAGTGCTCTCCTTGGAGGCATTTTTGTTTGCATTTCTTAAGCTAATTGTTTGCCCTGTGACCACAGCTCTGTAACAGATTCAAGAAAAGTTGTAATTTTGTAAATTATCTAGCTTTTTTTTGGTCATAAGTATGGTGTTTCCTACATCCCATAGTGAGGCCAGAAATCCTATTTCTTGACCTATAAGAAAAATTATTTCTAGGTGTTTAAAGCATCTACAAGCAAATCTTATTTCATAGACCAAATGTCAGGTAATTTTGGACTTCAAATAAAAGAAAATCCAATCAAAATATGTAAACCAGAAGTTTTTATTGTCTCATTTGAAAGGAAAGTGGAGGTACAGGTTTAAATCAAGTCAACAATTTTGTTAGGGTTCTAGGTTCTTTCTCTTTTCCACTCTGCTATTCTCAGGACATTGTTGAGTCCTTTAGGGTAACTTCCTCATGTGTCCCAGAATGGCTACCAGAGTTCTGGACATCACAGAGGTGGAAACGAACAAGCCATACATTAAAAATTTAAATAAAATTAATGACTTTTTCATGTCATTATTTTTTAAGAGAAAGAAAAAAATCACAAAGACTTCCTATCAAACTTGCCACATGTCTTATTCAACAGGACTGGGTCACATGCACATTGCTCAATTGTTTACTAGAATAGGAATGGAACTCCCCTATTAGATTTAACATCAAGATTTGTCTCTGGTCTGGAAAGGGGACAAATTCCTCTGAAGTACATGGCAAATTCTGTGTTTTATTTAAGAAATTCTGCTGTACCACAAGGTCATAAAGATATTTCTTTCTCCATTGATACTCTCCACATTGTCTTCTCATAATTTTGAAGTTTTGCATTTCATAGACTTTTAGTTAACACAGAATTCATTTTTATATATAAGGTCTGTAGAGATTTTCTTTCTTTTTTTTTTATGATAAGGATCGTCAATTTTCTCCACCTCACTTATGAGATAGAACTTTCTTCCCCACTATTTATTCTACCACTGCTAGCTCCCTCCTGCCCCCCAACAGGTACCAGAAGTACATATACCAAGTTCTCTGTATGTATGTGTCTGTATTGGGGTTTTCTATCTTGTTCCATTAGTCCGTCTATTTATCTTCAAACTAATATCATATTGTTTAAGGACCAAAGTTTTATAATAAATCTTGAGATTTGGGAGGGCAAGATGCTTCCCTCCTTATTCTTATTTTTCAAAATTGGTCCTTTATTCTTCCATATGGATTTTAAGGTTAGTTTATCAAATGTAGTCAAAATCTCTTTTAAAATCTGAATTAGAATGGCAATAAATTTATAAACTAATTTGGGGAAAATTGTCATTCTCAAAACATTGAGTATGTTTACCTATTAACAGTCTATACATTTCCATTTATTTGTGTCCTGAAATACATTTTTCTATTTTCTAGTAAGATACTGTACAACTTTTGCTTTATAACTTCTGGCTGTCATTGTGGATGAGATCTTTTCCTTAATTACATTTTCTAAATGGTTCTTTATTAGGTATAGTGAAACTACTATTTTTATTTATTGCTTGTCTATCCAGTAACTTCAATGAGCTCTCATTAATTTTACTAAATCACTTATGGATATTTTTAATTTTACATGTAGATAATCATATCACTGGTTAATACTGACCATACTGTTTTGCTCATTTTTTGAGTTTTCTCTCTCTTTTTTTTTTTTTTTTTCTGTTTCTGGGTTTCTGTCCTGAATAGAAGCAGTACTAGTGAGCATCTTTGCCTTGTCCCTGACTTTAAAGCTAAAACTAATACAATGTTATATGTCAATTATATCTCAATCAAAGAAAAAGTAATGCTTCTAATGCTTCATGTTTAGTAAGACATTTGGTTTAGATTGTTGACAAGTCTACATCTGTTTAAGAAAATTTCCTTTTGCTCCAAATTTACTGCATCTTTCTTTCTTCCTTTTTTCTTCCTCCCTTCCTCTCTACTCTCTTTCTCTGCCTCACTTGCTTTTGTAAAAGATTAATAAATAAATGTTGAATTTTACCATAAGTTTGTGCATCTATGTTTATGACTATATTTAGCATATAGTTTTTCTCATACTATACTGCCCTTGTGAAATTTATTATTATTATTATTTTTTGCCTTGTGAAATTTTAACATCAAGGTTCTTCTAGCTTACAAAAGGAGTTGGGGAGCTACTCCCTTTTTTTAATCTCTAGAACTCTTATCTAATACAGGAGTTAAATGTTCTTTGAAGATTGGGTGGTATCTCATCCAATATTTATATATGTTAAATCAAACATATATCTAATAAATCTAATATTAGTCATTATTAAATTAATGGTTGTAATTACATTGATAAGTTATATTTTTAAAATAATGTTTAATATAATCACCAAATTAATACATTGATACTATAACTTAATACATAAATTATTAGGTTAATAAATTTCATATGTTAAGTGGATATCATTTAATATTTAATATTTTCTTCTCATTTTATAGTTGAGGCAGCAGCTGTATTCCAGCTACTCCAGTAATTGCCCTAGTTTGCCAGTTTTAGAGCTTTTCTTCTGAGCTTATCTTCTTTCTCTGGGAATTAAAAAACTCCCAGCTGATCTCAATGTATGGTGAAACACAGGCCTAGCCTTCTGACTGATTCTCAGAGAAATTTTCTCCTTGACTTTTCCTGTCTCTCCAGGGCTCACTGAGGTGAACTGCAAATTGCCTTCCTGTGGGGTTAGGGCTTTATTTCAAACATCGAGAGCAATGGGGCTCTATGTGAAAACAAGCTTTTATACCTTTCCATTGGAATCCAACGCATTCTCAGTGGTCTCTGAATAAACCGTATCCATATCTAAAATTTAAGGGAAGTTAGTCCTGGTTTGAATAAAGCACTGTCAAGCAATATCATGAGCCATTAATCCATGCTGAAATAAGAAAGTAGAGGAGATGGCAGAGGGTCTGACTTATACCATTTGAGGGTCCTTGTTAATGTTTGTAGGTCACCATAGGCTTCCAAAAGAAGAGGCTGCATGGACAAGACCAGGTCTTCCCTTCCCTTTGTGAGATCTGGAACTAACCACAACATCTCTGACCTTCTTAGATGCCTCTTCCTCCAGCTGGGGACTTGAGAACTCCCTATACCTTGTAGATATGAAGCCAGCGTGGACAGCACAAGTTCATAATCCCAATGCTGGATCTTCTTTCCATCCGTTGGGGAATAATGGGCTTAATCAGGCCATTCAAAAGGAAGATCACTTGATCCCTCGTGTTCATTTCTGAGTTTTATTTTCCCTTTACTTTCACCTCTATTTCCTGAAATTGGTATTGCCTAGAAATTCTTCCTACCACAATTATGTTGCTTTCCCAGAAACTCTGAAGCCTTCCCAGCCCACACCCAGGCCCCTGCATGCCACCATTCTTACTCACTGCTCCTGCGGGTTTTTCCAAGACAGGGAAGATTCAAAACACACTCTTTGAGGCAAAATGGCCCCAGGAGGAGATTCGTGCTCACATAACAGAGTCTGACAAGGAGTATAGCTTATTCCGACCCCTCTCCCATATTGGGATACATATTTCAGAGGAATTGCCAAGTATTAAATTAAAAAAGCACACAACTTCATTCTTGTGGTTTTTGTACCCCATTTCAGACAGGCCTGGACAAATTCTACTAATTCTATTGTAAGTGATGGTTCTGAAAGCATTTCTAGCAACTTGAGGGAGAAAGGAGACAGGCGAGGTCGGGGAGAGGAAGGCTGGGTAAGATAAGCCTGATGGGCTCTAGAGGGACCACCCAACCTGCTTGGAAGCTGTTGCCACTCACCCTTCAGATTTTTTGAAAATCTGCTCCTCTGGAGGTAGAGGTTGGCAGGGGTGAGGTGGCACACAAGTGAAGAAGAACGAAGGTGTACCTCCCTTCTGCAAAGTGAGGCTAGCTTCTTTCTGCACTCCTGTGTGTACAGAGATTAGCAGTGTCCCTCTGCCGGCGGAACCAAAGGACAGGATTCTGGCTTTCATGGTTGTCCCGGTACTGGGATTGATTAAACTGGACCTAAGATTTTAAGTTTTCGGTGTTCAAGGCAAAGTCTGGGGCTGGAAATATGGATGGATCTTAAACATTAAGCCCAAAGCAGACCGCAAAGAGTAGAACAAGTGCTGGAAGAAGAGTGAGTAACAGCCCAGAATAGGTGTAGGAGGTGAGGTCTGGAAAAATCCTTCAGAGAATGCCTTTTAGGAGGCCTCACAATAACCACATGGTTCAGAGAAATCTGTACAAGGCCCAGCCTTATCGGGGGATTGAATCACAACATTTCATCCACATAGAATGGACGTATTGGAAGAGGAGACAGCTACCTACAGAGATCAACAGACACTGTGTCATAGCTGTAATCATGCCTGTAATCTCTGAAATGTTAAGGTAAAAATATAGAGGACCTTAGGGGGTCTGTTGTGGGGTCAGAGCCATGGAAAATTTACAGAAGAGGCCATGATTAAGCAGGGTTTGAAGTGATGCTGGCAGATAAGGATGTGGGAAAAGCCAAGAGAACAGCATGTGCAAAGATACGGGGACGTGACACAACATGGTGTGGATGGAGCCATAGAAGTGAGATCATTTCAGAGGGGAGGAGGGAGGGGTAAGGGAGCGAGTTAAGATTGGAAAAGAGGATCCACGGGCTGGCATAATGATGGAGGGCCTCAAATTCCATGCTAAGGAGCTGGGTTTGTTTGGTTTTCGTTAGGGAGTGTGGAGACACTGATGTATTATAACCAGGGCTAGGTCCCATGTTAGGCAATTCCAGAACTCCAAAGACCACGGAGATTAATTGAGTAGATTTCTTAAAATTAATGATACTTGTTACCTGTCTTTTATTCTGATCTACTTCCCACCTCCGCCCCCCAACACCTCCCAAAGACTTCAGCACATAGTTTAACCCTCCTTTCTGATTTTAGCTAAAACTCAGAAAGTTGCATGATTCTCTGAGATTAGATCTGGTCAGCAGATAGTGACCCATTTGTTTTATTGCTGTTTTCTTTGTCAGTTGGATTTGAGTTTATCAATTAGTCAGTTTCTTTGTAGTGGAAAACTGCAGTTGTAGCATTCCAGGGACAAGCCTTAGTGGGCAAGTGAACCAAATGAATCACCATGAGGCATGTGAGGTTGTGGCTGAGAAACAAATATCTGTGATACATGCCATTGACTCGGGTTATGACTTTTGGCCCCTGGATATCTGGTGTTGACCCTCCCCTCCCCACCCCGAAAACATGGAATGAGTAGACAAAACTTTGGTCTGAAGTTGAGCATTTATATGAACACATCTGTCCCAGCTTTCTAATTTGTGAGTAAAAACATTGTAAAGGTACCTACAAAGGAACACTTCTGGACCAAGACATTAAGATATTTGAGGCCTTTTCAAAAATGGAAATGATGAACATTCCCTCTTAACTTCACCTATTCAAGATAAAGCTGGACACAGTCATAACTAAGTAAGTATTACGGTTGAGGAATAGTTGGATTTTTTTGTTTTGTTTTTAGTCTCCTGGCAGAGGAAAAGAAAAGTATACTTATGGTGCGATGACTAGTGTTGATGGAAACACATAACCTAGGCGTAGGGACCCTGGTGAAGGGTAGAGGTCTGCTTCTTGGCCCTGAGGGCCTTGTTATCCAGGATCCTGGGCGCAGTGTTGTGCAGGCAGGTGGCACTGGACAATGACAGCAAGAATGATTCCTTGGTGTTAGCAGGCTTCTTGGAAGCAAAGGCAGGATTTCTGAAAAGTGAAAATGATGCTCAAAGGCAAGGTCCTTTTCAAGGTCTCTTTCCCTGGCTGGAAGCTCTGGCTTGATTCTGGGATGAAACTTCAACCGGTGTTTTGGAAGCTGGGAATACCCATCTGCTTCAGGAAGGCTTAATCGTCAGAATTAACTCTCTGAAATTATAAGCTCATTTTTGTTATTATTACTTGTAATTTGAGTAGAGTTGACACAAAATGTTACATTAGTTTCAGGTGTACAATATAGGGATTCAGTAAGTTTATACATTATCCTATGCTCACCACAAGTGGAGCTGCCATCTGTTCCCATAAATTGCCATTCAGCCTCATTGATTGTATCCCTCATGCCGCACCTTTTATTCCCGTGGCTTCCTCATTGCATAATTGGAAAACTGGGTCTCCCACTCCCCTTTGCCCATTTCGCCCATTTCCCTGCCCTTTTCTCTTCTGGCAACCATCAGTTTGTTCTCTGCATTTATACGTCTCTTTTTGTTTTTTGTTTGATAAATTCATTTTTATTTGAAAGAAGTGATTAAAGACCTTGCCCTAAGAATCAGAGCTCATAAGTGGATAGGAGGGTATTTAAGTCTTCTCTGACTGGCTCTACAACAGCTCTATCTAACGGAAATATAACACAGGCCACATATTTTATTATTGTATTTATTGAGATAAGCTTAGTATACCACATTATATCAGCTCCAGGTGAACAACACTATCATTTGATATTTGCATTTTATAAAGCGATCATTGTCATAACTCTAGTTATCATCCTCACCATACAATTGACCCTCGTCACCATTTTGGCCCACCCCCTAAAACTCTTCCCCTCTGATAACCACTAATCTGTTCTCATTATCTATGAGTTTTGTTTTGTTTGTTCATTTGGATTTTTTTTTTTTTTTTTTTTTTTTTTAGATTCTACATGTAAGTGAAATCATATGGCATTTGTCTCTCTGGCTGATTTCATTTAGCACAATACCCTTAAATGGATCGAGCCCTGTTTCAGGCTTTCTGCTCAGCAGGGAGCCAGCTACCTCCCTCTCTCTCTGCCTGCCTCTCTGCCTACTTGTGATCTCTCTCTCTGTCAAATAAATAAATAAAATCTTTAAAACAAAACAATATTAATTTTTCCAATCCATTAGCAGAGAATATCTTTCTATTTACTTGTGTTTTCTTCAGTTTCTTCAGTATCGAAGAGTTTTCATAGCCTTGGTTAAATTTATTCCCAGGTAGCATAGAAAAAAACTGCTCATAGGTATTTTATTCTTTTTGATATCATTGTAAATGATATATTTTTTTAAAAGATTTTATTTATTTGACAGAGAGAGAACAAGGATAAGTACGGGAGCAGCAGAGAAGAGGGAAAAGCAAGCTCCCCACTGAGAAGGGGGTCTTATGTGGGGCTTGATCCCAGGACCCAGAGATCATAACCTGAGCCAAAGGCAGAGGCTTAACCGACTGAGCCACCCAGATACCCCAAGATCGTTTCATTAATTTTCCTTTTTCTTAATGGAAATGTCACAGATTTCTGTATACTGAGTTTGTATCCTGTAACTTTACTGAATTTATGTATTAATTCCAAGTGTTTTTAATGGAGTCTTTAGGGTTTTCTCTATGTTGAATTTTATCATCTGCAAATAGTGACAGTTTTACTTCTTCCTTTCCTGTTTGGATGCCTTTTATTTCTTTTTCTTGCCTAATTGCTTTGGCTACCTTCCAGTATTATGACAAATAAAAGTGGTAAGAGTGGGCATCCTTTCCTTGTTCCATATCTTAAAGAAAAAGAATTTTAGCTTTTTATGGTTGAGTATGATGTTAACAGTGGGCTTGTCATATATGACCTCTATTAGGTTGAGGTATGTTCCTTCTTTCTGCACTCTGTTAAGAGATTTTTATCATAAATGGATGTTGAATTTTGTCAAATGTTTTTCCTGTGTCTGTTGAGATAATCACATAATTTTTATCCTTCATCTTGTTAATGTGGTATATCATGTTGATTGATTTGTGAATGTTGAACATCCCTGAATTAAGTTCACCTTTATCAGGGTGTATGATCCTTTTAATGTATTGCTGAATTCAGTTTGT